TTATTCCAACTATCTCGGCGATCCATCGTCTTCTTTCTTCTGTTTCAAGGACGTAACTTGTACGTTCTTCTCGAATACGTTTAAATACTCTTTATATACTCGCTTGAAACGAGTTGCCTAAAATAATTTCCTCCGTTCTTTTTGTCTCTTGAATTCTATTATTTTATTTTCTCTCGAAAAGAATCTTTCGAAAAAATTTTTATGTAAAGATTAAATTTAAACGTTTACGCGATGAAAGTGAAAAAAAGAATACATCGTTGGCGTTGTTTTTTTTACCTGTCGACGCAGTTAGCCGCTGTTAATACTTCTTGAATACCGATTAAAGCGCCGGAACAGAGAATTTTTCTTTCCTTCGAATGTAAGACCATTGCTTGCCATGGAATTTCGGCAAAAATTGTTTTCGAATCTTCTATTTCGGATTCTTGTCGTATCTGATAATTAAAAAAAATATTTCTTCTTTTTTTTGAACGAAGTTTCGATTTTTATACGTATATGTACGTACGTTTCTTGATAATATTTCGATAAGTAAGTAATTTGATGTATCCTATATGTACGTAATATGTATATTTGAAGTGTGAAAATATGATTTTTTTCAATTTTTTTCGTGTTTGCGTTACGTTAAAGTTCGTTTATTTTAAAAATCCGTGTATTATCTTCGAATAGAATTCTTTGATTAATTTTACTGGAAAAATTTTTTTCAAAGGAGAAGGGAGAGATGATAAAAAATTATTATTCGCTCTCGAGAATCGAAAAATCGAATAAAAATTGATCGATTTGTTTAATAATATAAAATATTGCTTTTTCGAATTATCGAAAGATACGATACGTAAAAGATGATGGAAAAAATGATGGATTATTTGGAAATAAGAGAAATTGAAGAAATTTTGGAAATAAAGAGAAAAAAAATGCGTATATCGAAAATTAATATTTTCGAATATCTATTTCTATATTTTTATTTTATGTGCTTGTTCGTTAATTTTTAGATTTCGTTTTCTAAGATTTTTATCGCGGGATAAATGTAAATGTCTATGTTAATCTAATATTTATATATTGATGTAAGCTCGTAGGTTGGAATTGATTACGGTCGCGAGTATGTATGTATGTAAATAAGTATAGTATTCTGCTAAAAACGTGTCTCGTGTGACGGCATAAAGGCAAGAGGGGTCTTCGCTAGGATCGTTTATCTCGATTTTACTCGCTAAACCTACCGCTACGGTCGAATTGATCGTTTACGCGTATTAAACGTATTTAAACGTTATCGTATACCTATCAAACTTTATGACTTTTTGCTAAAATATACGTACTTCTAGTTTTTTTTTTTTTTTCTTTTTTCTAAAAGATATTTGCAGTTTGTCCTACCTACCGCGATCGGTCGATAAAAGTATTTTATCTAGTCTTTTAAATATATACAATCGACGCAAAGAAAAGGCTATCTCGAAGTCGGATGACAATTGAAAGTAGTAATAACAACGATAAAAGAGTACAAACTCGAGAAGAAACCATCGCGAATGACCGTTGATGAGCGGTTGTTTCCGGTCGAAGACTAGATGTAGATTTATTCGATATATCCGGTCGAACAAACCGGAAAAATTTGGCATAAAATTCTGGTTATATAATAAATGGATTTTCTTATTTAGAAAATATTCGATTCCGTTTGGAGAGTTTGTTGTTCGTTGAAGCTGATGGAACCGTTCGCGGGATATGGAAAGAACGCAAGGATGGATATCGAAGAAATCGATAGAAATCGAAAAAAGTAACGAACGTGTACCGAATGACGGAAGAATGATACGGTACGAAGTCGAGATCTTGTAGATCCTCGTTCCTCCAGATATTTTTCGATATTTTGAATTTAATTGGAATAAATGCCTGGGTTTTGTATAAAGAAACAATGGGTGAAAATATTTCGAGGTAGGAATTTTTATTTCCATTGGCTATAGAGCGGTGCGTATCGAGAATCGCGAGAAGAAAACCATGTACTAAAACTATCGATAAGTTTGGATTCGTACGTACGAAAAACTGTAAAATATTGTAAAGATTACGAAACTACGAAAATCTGTTCGAGATACGAAAAATATGCGTGCGACGAATGTACATTTGAGAATAAAATAATTCGTAAAAAATGCAGCGAAGCTGAATAAGATATTTCTTTTACTGAATAAAACAGTTTATTACTATTTATTTTTTTCCATAAATAATTTTAGATATGCATCGAGATTTGAATACGGATCGTCGTTTTATTGCCCTCTCTGTCGCGATCGGATTGGTATACGTGACGAATACAACGTGACGAATAGAAATGAAAAAAAATGCGTGTGAAAATAGGCGTTTTCTCCCACGTTGACCGATCGCATCCGCATTCCTTTCGTGAGAATGATTTTTTCTAGCGATGAACGGTACGTGTAACTTATGATAACTTATGATCTGCAAGATAGGACGTGAAAATTGAGCTTCGTTTTGTCTTTGACGACGAAGAGGGGGATCGTAGAAAATTCGCGCGATGAGAACGAAAAACGAGGAGAGATTGAAAGTGTGAGCGTTTTTGAAAAAAAAAAAAAAAAACACGTACGATGATCCAAAGTCTCTTTCTGGATGAGTTATCTCTCGTTCAATTGGATCGAAAGAAATCGAAAACGAGCGCGATATATCGGCTAGAACGTATAACGAATAAGTATATCTATTATTGTATCTATTCATACTATTTCCATTGTAATTATTGTATTGAAATAATTGTAAAGATACTTACCTTATTTCTAATGCCGCATCTTATTTTTCGTTGTACCGCGTTAAAAGCATTTTTTTCATTTTGACCTACGATCGGTGGTATTAATGTTTTGGTAAAAATATCTGAATTTTCTGGTACCAAGGTAGGTTCAAATTTTTGTTCCATTTTTTTGGATCGTTGTTCCATGGAATGATATTTTACAATTGTTTTGCTTGTTTTAGATTGTGGTGAGTTGGTGGATGGTTTCGCTTTTGCGATATTCAAAAACGTTGGAAATCCTTGTTCGTCGAATCCACCGGAATAATTTGCTGGAAGATTCCCCGTTGGCCAAGGATCCGTGTAATTGGGATCTCGACAACATTTACCGATTATTCCGTTGTCGGGATTTTGACAACTCTGTGAAAGAACGAAACGTATTTCTTAAGTTAAGTTAAATTTCGCGAGAATTGAATAAAAATATCTTTAAATGTGAAAATGATCCTAAGATAACCGATACGATAATTTGAACGATTAGTTTGAATATTATTATATATTAAAATATTAAGGATAAGATATATCCTGGAATGGATAAAACTATTATATATACTATGTATATACGTACGATGTATTTGATCGTTTGAAATTGATATACGTATACGACTATAACGTATTTTAAGATTTATTCTTATCCTTACTTACGCTCGTTGGAACGCGTCGTAGAATTTCTTTTTCCGATAACGTAACGGGCTCTGAACTGATCGTACCGTCTATGGTGCAAAATTGTTCTTCGACGCATAAAAGAGCAGCTGCGCAACCGATCTGCGCATAAGTTGGAATTGCGAAAATATCTAAAAATTTAAACGAGAAATCTGTTATTAAGATTCCGTTATTAAGAATCGAATCGAAATTTAGTGATAAGATATTTCTATCGTGTATATTTTTTTTTTTTTTTTGTTATTCCTTCGTTCCTTGATGATATATCTGTACTAATTATTTTATTTTGCAATCGGCAAATTAAGAAATTGAATAATTTATGATATATATATTATGATTTGCCAATTATACGATATATTCTCCTATTACGTAATATATTTAGAAAACTATGAATATCGAATAAGCCGTAATGTGTTAACCAAAGTTATGGACAACGATCCGATTCGGTCTCCGAATCTTTTTAACATTAGGTTTCAACCTAACGATACTTTCTACGTTGCGGAATTTTGAAAACAGAAATTCAATACGTTAAGATTGATATTTTTAAATAAAGATATTTCTGTAAAATATATAATGTAAATTTTTTTCTTTTCTTTCGAGATGATATTTATCGAATAAATTATTTGCTCGCTCGTATCGAGAATTAATGATCTAAATATTTACTTATTATTAAAGTATTCTTTTCGCGTACGTGTTATAAATTATTAATTTTTATTCATTATCGATTTATTTTCTTTCCTTCCCCTGAATAAATATAAAATGATAACGTTCGAATAAAGAGAAAAAAAAATGATCTAAACGTTTTTTTATACGATGAATTAAAATTCGATTTATAAAATTAAATAATATTTATTCTATATCTTATATTTTACCGTGAATTTATAATTAGTATTACGTATAAGGTATTTTATAGTTACGTATAATATTTTTTATTGATACGTGATATCTTGTTAATTCTTTTACGGATTATATTAAAATAAAAATGTGATGAATAAAAATATTTTAAATAAATATACTTTGTACGGAAGATCCGATGGGATTTGGTTCGGTTTTTTCTATCTTTCCGAGCGCAGCTTGAACGTTTGTGGACGATTGCCCCGTTTCGAAACTTATATTGTTAGATTTATTTTTTATATTTCTTTCAGATGTTTCGAATCCCTCTTCCAATTCCTTTTTTATCGTACAACAAACTTGATCGTAAGCTCTGCATTGTTGAATCTGCGTTATCGTTACAACAAAATTCTCTGGTAAAATCCAAAATGTAGATATGTCGCAAAATAAGTATACGTATTAATATATGTATATATGCATATATTCTAAATAAATTTAAATAAATTTTCTTAAATGTAAAAAATTATGGAATAGAATTTATTTTTTTTTTTTAAACGCGCGAAACGTACTAATTATAACGATATATGTAAGTAAATTGTAATGTTTCGAGAAATAATACCTTAGTGGATGAGGAATGAGAGATATTTTTGGCGTAAGAGATATAGCCATTTACGCAATTATTTTTGTTGATGCACATTCTATTTGGTTCGATGCAACTAATTGTAAAATCATTTTGTTGTTTTGCAAATTTTGCGCCATCGGGTATAAAATAATTTTTGTCGATTTCTTCTCGTTCGTAATTTTGTTGAATATTTTCGAATAATAATGTTTTTTCCTGTTCAGAACTTTGAAATATTTTATCTTTTTCTTCTGGTTGAAATATTACTTTTTGTTGTTCGAATGGTTTAAATGTAACTTGTTCGGAATTTTGAAATATGATTGATCCCTGTTGTTCAAAATTTCGATGTGCTATTCGAAAAGAAAGACGATAATGATGATAATAATAATAATAGTAAAAAGAAGAAAAATCACATTTTTTAATAAAAAAAATTTTTGATATTGAAATTTTGTTTCTTTGTTGTTAAATTTTATTTTTATTTCGAATAAAATAATCTTAATATTTTATCATATACGTATATGTATCCTATATTGAAATATCGGATTTTAAGAAACCGATATTATGATATGATACAGACCTGTTTGAGAAGTTTCGGTTTGAAGTGAATAAGGAAGTCCGTTTGTTGAAAAAATAATAGTAATTAATATTAATGATCCGATGAGCATCTCTTTTGTTTTTTATTATGTAAATCTGCAAAAATCTGAAAAACAAGCGATACTTGTATACGATAGAAAATTCGGTTATCGATATATTAATAATATTGTAAAATTATAATAAATAAATAATTTATAATTTAATGTACGTTTCGGTAAAAGTATTTCATTTTCTTCAAATCATATTTTTCGATTGTATCGATAATAAAATTATATTTTTGCATATATTTAAAATTTCTTATTATTTAATGATTTTTCAATGATGACGATCAAATATATCAAAAATTAAATGTATACAAAAAAGAGAGGCAAAAATTTACATGATAAAAATCATATTTTAATTTCGAATGCGAAAAAAAAAAGATAAAAAAGATTGAATACGTATACGCTTGTATTCGTACGTATTCATGACTAAATATGTACGAAGAAAATATTGCTATATACGTATATATGCGTATGTAGATATTATAAAAATGCTCGAGAAGTTGGGGCAAAATTATAGTGAAAAATATGAAATTTTAATTTATGGAAAAAGGAAGAGCCATCACCCGGAAATAGTTGATCCAGGCCGCATCGTCTCGATCGAAAGAGAAAGGAATACACGTATACAGAGATTCACGATTTTTACTTTTCTAATGTCCTACATTCCAAGAATGATATTTTGGAACTCGCGTCATTCTTTCGTCGACCTCGAGAGTGTTTCACTTTACCTCTCTACTTCTCTTTCTCCCCTCTTTCTCTACTCTCATTTATTCATCCATTTTTATTATTATTTAGTAATTATTATTTATAGATGTAATTTTTAAAATTTTACCATCTATTTAATCGAATGCTGTGATCATTTTATTTACTATTCGATAATTTATTACAAGAATTTAAATAAAAAATTTAATTAAATAAATAATAATATTTCATATTTTTATTCTTAATTCAATGAGAGAGATCCCAGAGAGATTGTTTTTTAATATTACGATCTCGCTATATTATTTTCATTCGCTATGTAAATAAGAATAATTTATGAAAAATTAAATAACTTATGATAAATTATTATGAAGTTGAAATTTTCAAATTTTTAATTTTCATTTTCATTTCTTGTTATAATTGTAAGTACATGATACATTAAGTAAGTTATATGATACGTATATTCGTATATCTTGAAATTTTCGCATATATATTTATCGATGATAAATGATAAATTTGTAAAATAATTTTGATTAAAAAAAAATCATTTTATTAGTTATATATATTTTTTATAGTTTTCTAATAATAAGAAAAAAATTTGAAATAATGAATAATGATTGATATTGATTCTAAATAACTTGTTGATAATAAGTATACATGTTTTAAATTCGATTATTCGAGTAAATTACAAGAAATAGATATGATAAATATATTTTTATTTCAGGAAATATTATTTGCAGAGAAAAAAATTAAGAAATTTTTTAAAATAATATCATAAATGGAAAAATTATTACGAATAAATGAAACGAAATTGAGTGTAGATATATTTTCGTTTATATTCGTAAAAAAACGAGAAAAATAATTTTACGAAATGATAAATAATGTGAAAAGAATAGAATTAAAATAGAATGAAAACGATTGGATATGAAAATATTATGAATAATAAAAATAAAGAATAAATTCTACTTCGAATTTATCAACAATTATGTTATCTAGTATTCCAAAATTTGGGATTTACGTTATTTACGAAACTTGATAACGGAGAAAGATGTATAAAGTATTATAATTTTGGAATATATGCTAAAAATAATGGTACTTACCTATATTCGATAGATCCGTGTATGATGAGTATCGCTAAATGAAATTTACTTTTCCATGTGATACCTAAAAGAAAGTTAATAAAACTGGCGCCGCTTTAGTATTCGTTCTTCTTTTATATCGATTCGCTGATCTTCGATATCTCCCTACCATCCGAATGGCAATTGCAACCTTGTACCTACTTATTTTGGACGTATCATCTTCAAAAATTTCTTAATAATTAGTAAAATAGTTTTTCCTAATTTATTCTCTTTCTCTTTCTGTCTCCCTTCTTCCCTCTTCTTCCGCTGACTCCCTTTCCACTTTCCCTCGCCCCTATTTATCTATAATGCATACGAATATTTATGAATAAAAAATTTTAATGTTATTTATATTATTATATTTTTTATCGTACATTATTACTCTTTTATACATATATTTTATACATAAAAAATAACTTTTACATAATATAACGAAACAATTGTAATGCATTTCTCATTCTTCTTATCTCTTGGATTATTCTCAATTACTTTGAATCTTTTAAGCGAAACAAATTAAGAAATAAAAAGTGATCGTTAATATAATCATAGATATAGAATCTTAAATAATTTAAGAAACGTGCACCTGTATGAAAATATATATATTTTTATGATTTTAAAAATAATTCGTGATATTTATTTTACATTTAATATTTGACATAATTAATGTTATTAATCACAAATTATAGAAAGTATATTAATTTGTAGAGAACTTTAAATCATATTATATTTATAATAATTTATATATATATATATATATATGGTTAAATATAATCAATTTAAATTTCTTAATGCAATGAATACATAGTACTATTTCGTTGTATTATAATATGATTATTTCCACGTTATGTGATCATTTTAATACTCATATCATTTTCTATTATTATACCTATCGAAATGTTTGAATTTTGATACATCATCACATTATATATATTTATATATATATATATATATATTGACATTTTTCGTACTATTGTATATATTGTATATATATTGACTATTTTAATTTACGAAACCCATCCTCCATAATCTTTTGTTTCGCTTTTATTATTTGTATATGTAAACTAACGTGTATATATATATATATATATATATATATATACGTATTTTTTTTCATTATTTTTTCAATCAAGCAATTTTTTTCGCTTTAAGAAATACAAAATCTAATATAAAATTTTATTTATATGCATGTTACATGTTTTGAAATTAAAAATTCGTATTCTTAATACGTCATATAATGGAATTACAAATATAGATGATTGTGTACTAAAACTTACACGGATTAAAGTTTTATTTAATATAAATATGTAAATATATTTGATATAGATATTTAAAATAGGGATTAAATTATGTATATATGTATATAAATTTTTTCTTGCTATCTACAAAATTAATATATGTATGAAATTTTAAATAGGCAATCAAGAACAATTGACTGACGATTAATTTCGATTATAAACTTTCAACTTTTCTGTTTTTGAATTTTGATAGCTCTTGCGATCCTCCCTCTTTTTTGAGCGCGTTTTCCCTGAAAAATGACAAATATAAAACGAAAATCCCTTTGTTTAATTCGATGAATGAAAAAAAAATATTATTGTACTGAAAAATACCATCTTCCCTTCTTCCAACTTGAATGTAATATTTTATTTCAACTATCTCGTAATTATTTGAAATTGTGACACGATTATATCCGATAAATTTTAAAAATGTGACCGAAAAATATTTGAAATTTTTATGTTTATGAAATATTTTGAAAATTTTATGAAAAAAAGAATACCAAAAATTTTAAAATAACATGAATATCTTTGAATATCTTTTAGGCCGTTCCGATTGAAAAATGTATAAAAAAATATAACTAAAATAAATAAAAAAAGAAGAGAAGTAGGATTAAAGAGATTAGAAAAAAGAATTGATTAAGAAAGTATTAAAATCTTCGAATTAAGATTGAGTTAAAGAAAAGGGTGAATTAAAAAGGAAAGGGGGAAGGAGGAAAGAAGAGAAAAATAGATACATAGAGAGAAAGAGAGATGAATATCATTTGATTATTATATCATTACTTTATTATCAAATATAATTTTACTTAAACATTCATTTGAGTAAAATCACCTGCCTGCAACTTAACATCTCTACAATAAACATTTTCTATATATCAAGTGTTATTGTATCATTTTTCAAATAACCAAATACATGACGGCGAAAGTCGTGCATCAAGTATTTTGCAATGTGCAAGGTATATAAAATGATTTTACACGTATATGTTAAACGCTTTGCACAGCATTTCATATGAAACTTTCGCTGTCGTGTGTTTGCACCGATACGGAATGATTCAATGACACTTGATGTACATAAACTTAAACGTAAAGCAGGTACTGGTAATCCTACATTCACATCATTAAGGGTCCTCCCGCTGCACCCTGTTGAAGTTGTTTCATAATATTTTGTAATCCTGGCATACCTCCTGAAAATATTATTATAAATTTTAATATCGAAATAGAAAAAGAAAGAATAGTTTTTTTAATTTTCAAATATTCATTTTCATTTAAATTATACAAATATTACGATATTATTGAATTCTAGAGGCGTACGAGAAGCCGGAAAATGTCGAATTGAATCGAGAATTTTCTCGAGAACGAAAATTATTTTGAGATTTATTTATTTTATTTATTTTATTTTACATTTACCCATTTGATGTAGAACTCTAGGATCCATCATTTTTGCCATTTGATGATTTAATTTTGCCATTTGTATTGAATTTACATTTTTAGACATATCTCCTGCTTTAAATAATCCTTTGATACCACCCATTTTCTTTACAACTGCTGCAAATTTTGTATATTGAGTAATTACATCTTTGACTTCTTTTTCAGTCACTCCAGAACCTTGTGCCACTCTTGTGATTCTACCTGGTTGTTTACTAAATAATTTTGCACCATCTCTGTTGTCCAATTCTGTAAATGTTTCTTATATTTAATATAATATTGCATTTTAATTTTTAAGATTTTCATAAATTTTTATAAATTTTATAAAAATATAAACATACGTACGAATGTATATATAAATATTTATGTCGATATATAATTTTTCAATTTTGATAATTTTATCAATCAAGTTCATTAAAAACAAACTATTTTCTCATAAATTGATGATAATAAGAAATAATTCTATATGTAAAAATAAGTCGAAAGAAATAGAGAAATGGATAGATAGATAGATAGATAGAGAGAGAGAGAGATAGATGAGAGAGAGAGAGAGAGAGAGAGAGAGAGAGAGAGAGAGAGAGAGAGAGAGAGAGAGAG